CTCCTCGCCTCGCCACGCCGCGCCGCAGACCCGCAGCGCGGGGCAAGGCAGCCGGCCCGGCCCAGCCCAGCCCGCCCGGGCGCCGCCGCGCTCTTACCGAGGGATCTGTACGGGAAAAAGGGTTAGAACGGAGCCGAACTGCCCCAGGCCCCGCTCCGCGCCGAGCCCAGCGCCACGGACCGCGCAGCGCCACAAAATGGCCGCCTCGATGCGGCTCCACCACCCGCCGCCAGGGAGGGGCGGGGCCCGGTTCAGGCGGGCCCAGGAGGGCGGGGCCCGCCGGCGCGCGCAGGGCCTCCTGCAGCCCGCCCCGCCCGGGGCGGGGCCGCGCGCAGGGGCAGACGGCGCATGCGCCTCACCTCAAGAGTGGTTGAGGGGGCGCGGGAGGTGGTGGGCTTTGTCGTGAGAAAGTGTGCTTTGCCTCCCGTCAGCATACTCCTTTCTTAACACTAGAGCTAGAAGGCTGGAAAGAGCAACGTCGGACCCGCAGGATAACATTCGTACAGTTGCCTCTGGTACGACAGTAATACGGTGGTAGTGTGACACATTTTCTGGAAATCAATGATGGTGTAACTGAGGTTTATTGCTTGGGAAACGGGAACTCGAAAGGAGGCATTGAACTTCCAGCGAACAAAAGAACCCTGAGGAGAGTAGTTGTTTCTGACTTCTTCACTTAGGACCAGGTTGCAGAATTAACATGACAGTCAGATTACCCTGGGTCGATGCCCTTTTGAGTGTAACTACCCTATGCTATGTTTGTCCTTTGCTTCACTTAAATACAGGTGCAATACAAATAACTAGACAGTGTCCGGAACTGAAAAACAGCTAGACACCCCACAGGAGATGCTGTCACTGTGCTTCAGCAGACACAGGTACTGCAGCAACATCCATTGTCAATGAAAAAAACCCTGCGTAGTCTGCTGCAAGAAATGAATAAATCATTGCCTCACGTTGCAAACACTTTTCCAGCTAATATGGGAGTTCAATGGTTCAGTTAACTTAGTTGGTTTTCACCACTTAACAGAAACCGGGGCCAAACTGTGCAATGGGTGTGTTGTCCTGAGGCAACAGGAACAGGCCTGGGGCTGCTCAGCACCACAGTAACCCCCACTCCACTATTTGTTTCCCTGTATATCCCCTCTTTCTACTTCCAAATTCTCCTTTACAACTCTCACCCCCTCCCAGTAAACAGCCAACACTTTTTTATCTTCTCCCTATTATCCCTCGTTTTACAGATTTTGTACTCTATTTGGTATTTATGATAATGGCTGCCCCGAAAATTTATCAGCTCTGTCAAGCTACCACCTCCTTTCTGTCTTGCTAGGTGTGCCATCTGCTTACACATCACTCCTTGATTGCCATAGGTAGTATCCAGTAATTTGTCTTTTTATAGCATTGTTATCAATTAATATGTACAATACAATTGAAATAACCAGGGAACTACTAAAGTCCTGCGTACAGCCCCCATCAGTTAATATTTAAAATAGGAAAACAATAACTAGACATGATTTAGGGTTTAGGAACCAACTATTAGACAATGGGTCTTTATGTTTGTCAGAAAAGGTAATGGATTGTGGTCTGGTCAATAAACCTTGAAGAGCTAAAAAATAGGTAAAAGGTAATTCCTACAGGGGGAGATCATGACCATTAACTCATTGACCACCTACTCAAATAACACCACCTACTCAAAAGACAATAATGAAGGAAGAAGACAGAGTTTGCACACTAATTTACATGAGAGGCAAAGAAGAAAGAACCAATTGTGGGAATTTTTGAGACAAAGGTGTGCTGTCTTGAGACAGGCACCCATTCATGCGCATCAATGAAATTAATTTGAAAATACCTCGACTCTGTGTTACTGGCTTGCACACCAGGTAAAGAAACCCCATTTGTGGGACAACAGCATTAGTAACACTAGGCTGGGTTAGCTGTCAGCATACACCCCTGGACACAGCCAAGAGAAGCAGGTGGTTGAAGTCACCAGAAGTATCCACAGCCAGGCTTGCCAGACCCCCTGGAGAGCTGCTTGCCCAAAGTACATGAGGAGCAGAAGGAGCACCTGCAGCTCAGGGCCTAACTCTGTCGCACTGCAGCACTTCCCAGGCTGCACTGGCCACCCTGCAGCAGGGAAAAGATGTAGGATAACTAAAGGGCAGTGCTGGAGTATCCCAGGTCAGAAGAAGACTAAGACTTTACAGCTTTTGTGCAATGCAATGAGTTGCCATGTTGCTTTTTGTTGCTGAAATAAAGTC